AGGTGTCGCCCGCTGCGGGAAGCCAACCCACCGAGTTGCCGCGGGTCCCCAGTTTTGCATGCCGCGGGAAGCCAACCCGCCGAGTTGCCGCGGGTCCCCAGTTTTGCATGCCGCGGGGAGCCCTCCTTCCGACGGCGAGGGACAGGGCTTGGTCCACCTGTGAACAGCGTGTGGCTCTGCCGTGTTCACAGTGGCTAAGTTCCGCCTCTTGCCGCCCGCTCTCCCCCCGCCGCCGCCCGGCTGCGTCCAGAAGGATTCTGCGAGAGCCGTCAAGCAGAAGAGGAAGCCAAGGGAGCAGAGGCCGGAGCGGCCGGAGGGCTTGCCTGTCGGGCAGCAGAGAGGGAGGCCACGAGCCACTGCTCCTTCCGCAGAGCCACGCGACGGTCCTTCTGGGTTTCGACTCCCGTGCCTACTGAGCTGATACTCAGTCGCTTTGAACACACTGGCTCAGTTCAGAAGGAACAGGAGGCAGGGCTAGGCCTCCCAGACGGCACAGCTGCCTCACCCCCACCCCCTGAGACACGGGCGTCAGACTAGGGTTGCCAACGTCCGGGTGGGAAAGACACCAAGCAAGCCGACACGGTGATGCGAATGACCAGGACCTTTAGTAAATCTTTTCCAGGTAAACATCAGCTAGGCCTCTCTCAGGCCCTAGCTGCCATGGGAGTGGGGAGACGCTGGAATGTGAAGCTTCATTTCCGCTGTGTCTTTTCTGTTTCTATTATCTCTCCTTGACCTTCAGTGCTTGGTGTAGTCTCTCTCTTGGGAAAAGTTGCCTGTTACTTTGGTGGGCTTCTTTTGTTGTTGTTCAGTTGCACAGTCGAGTCCGACTCTTCGCGACCCCATGGACAAGATCTCGCCAGGCCCTCCTGTTTTCCGCCGTCCTCTGAAGTTTGCTCAATTTCATGTTCGTTGCATCTATGACACTGTCTAACCATCTCATCCTTTGCTGTCCCCGTCTTCTTTGACCTTCTACCTGGGCTTCTACCTGGCCCCTGATTGGCCCTGAGCCATCAGGGGGTCTCCTCAAATAATGTATGACTGTTTGCATTGCGTGCTTTTAGTTAGTTCTAACACGAGATGGTTACGATGTCTGCGTACTCTCAATGTCTCAATAAACTATACTTCCTCGAATGAAAGCTGTTGGGAACTGATTGCTGCAGGAGATTGACAGTAAACATCATATTATATTATAAATGAAACTTTGCAATATTACAAGGGAAAGTCCATCCATCTCGAGGAAAAGTCCATCCCTCTCAGTGAGCACCCGGATATAAGCTCGTTTCGTCCCCATCTTCCTCAGGAGCAAGCCCAGGGGTCGTTTCGTAGAAAAAGAGGTGCAGGAGCTCATTAGCCTAACTTATTAGCATAACTTATTTGCATATGCCACACCCCCTGACATCACCGGAAGTGTGTCAGAAGGCAACACCCACCGCTCAGGCTCCACTGGATTGTTTGGAATCCTAGCTATTGGGGGAGGGGGACGTGCAGTTCTGTCCTCGCAGAGGAGGGAGAGCTTGTACCTGAATAAAACTTGGCCTTAAAGGTGCCACTGGACTGTTTTGGATTGCTAGCTATGGGGGGGGGAACGTACAGCTCTGTCCTTGCAGAGGAGGGAGAGCTTGTACCTGAATAAAACTTGGTCTTAAAGGTGCCACTGGACTGTTTTGGATTTGGGGGGTGGGGGGACGTTTTTTTGGGGGGTGGGACGTGCAGATCTGTCCTCACAGAGGAGGGAGAGTTTGTACCTGAATAAAACTTGGTCTTAAAGGAGCCACTGGACTGTTTTGGGCCCGGGGTCGGGGGGGAGGGGCTCTGCAACTTATCTGGATGTTTCTTGCTCTGACTGAGGGCTGCTGGGAGCAGGGGGCGGGGCTTGATGCGTGTGCCCACCCCCTGGGCTCTTTACTGCCGGAGCTCCGCTCCTGTGCGCTCCTGCAGGAAATGACCCCTGAGTAACCCTATTATGTCAAAAGGTGTCCGCCTCTTGATACAGCTCAGTTCCGTCAGGAACAAACCAGTGCTTAACTTCTTCTTTACTTTCTTCAAATGATCCCGGGGGGGAAACCCATGGTTATTTAAAATGGAAAGCAACATGAAGCTGAATGGAATGTTGTTTTTTATAATTTTTAAAAACTTTTAATATAATTTTTGACCTACTTCTGGGTCTAAGAACATAAGAGAAGCCAATGTTGGATCAGGCCAAGGGCCCATCTAGTCCAACACTCTGTCACAAGAGTGGCCACAAATACCAGGTGCCCTCAGGAGGCCCAGCAGTGGGGCCAGGACACTAGAAGCCCTCCCACTGTTAACCCCCCCCCAGCACCAAGCACCACATTCCAAATGGATCAGCTTTCTTCCTGTCAGCTTTCTTGTTCCTATCTATACCTTGTGGCTAATAGCCACTGATGGACCTCTGCTCCATATGTTTATCCAATTCCCTCTTGAGGCCGTCCATGCTTGTAGCCGCCACCACCTCCTGTGGCAGTGAATCCCATGTGCTGATCACTCTTTGGGTGAAGAAGGACTTCCTCTTATCCGTTCTAACCCGACCGCTCAGCAATTTCATGGAGTGCCCACGAGTTCTTGTATGGTGAGGAAGGGAGAAAAGTACCTCTTTCTCTACCTGCTCTATCCCATGCACAATCTTATAAACCTTGATCATGTCACCCCTTGGCCGTCATTTCTCCAAGCTAAAGAGCCCCGAGTGCTTTAACCTTTCCTCATAGGGAAAGTGTTCCAACCCTTTTTATCGTTCTCGTCGCCCTTTTCTGCACTTTTTCCAATGCTACAATATCCTTTCTGAGGTGTGGTGACCAGAACTGTGCACAGGACTCCAAATGAGGTCACACCATCCATTTATACAGGGGCACCGTCTAGGGGCTGGATGATGACGTATGTGTGAGACGTGTGGTGTTGTTTGTCTTACCTATAACTGAGGGTTTCTTCGCGATCTGTCTCAGCTCTGACACAGAGCCTGTTTCCTAAAGTAAGCCTCTCTCAATAAACGACCACTGCTCAAGCGTGTTGTGGTCAATGTTCCCTCTAAGCTGAGTTAGTGTGAGCTAGCTCAGTTTTTTAGCCTCCGGCTCACACATTTTTGTCTCAGCTCAGGAAGGATGGCTCCAGAACACACTAATTTATGCAGTAGCCAAATCCCTCGCTCACAACTTTAATGCCACTGGCTCACAAAGTAGAATTTTTGCTCACAGGACTCTACAGTTTAGAGGGAACATTGGTTGTGGTGAGTGTCTTCACTAAAGGCCCGGACCGCTCTGCAGAAGCAGGCAATGGCAAAGCCACCTCTGTTCGCCTCCTGCCTTGAAAGCCCCTTGAGGGGTTGCTGAAGACGTGTGCTTTGCACATGAAAGTTGATACCCCGAATAAAACTTTGCTGGTCTTAAAGGTGCCGCTGGACTCGGACATTTCCCCCCCTGTTGCTTCAGAGCAACACGCCTCCTCGCCTGAATCCATTTCCACAGTCTCCGTCAAGCTCTCCGCTGACGCCACATTTCAAAGGAATCAACTTTCTTCCTGTCCGCGTCCTTCACTGCCCAGTTTGCACACCCATACATAGTAACGGGGAATACCATGGCTTGAATTAACTTGATCTCGGTCGCTGACGACACATCCTGTTTGGTGTAGTTTGGCGTAGTGGTGAGTTTGGTGGGAGAACCGGGTTGGATTCCCCACTCTTCCTCTTGCAGCTGCTGGTGTGACCTTGGGTCAGTCACAAGTTATTTCAGAGCTGTTCTCTCAGGAGCCGTTCTTGAGAAAGCTCTCTTGAGAGCTCTCTCAGCCCCACCTACCTCACAGGGTGTCTGTTGCGGGGAGGGGAAGGGGAAGGAGATTGTAAGCCACTCTGAGTGAAGGGCGGGGTATAAATCCAATATCTTCTCCTTTGGTGAAGAAGCCAGTTTGGTGTAGTGGTAAGAAGCGTGGACTCTAATCTGGAACATAAGAGACGCCAATGTTCGATCAGGCCAATGGCCCATCCCGTCCAACACTCTGTGTCACACAGTGGCCAGAAATACCAGGTGCCCTCAGGAGGTCCAGCAGTAGGGCCAGGACACTAGAAGCCCTTCCACTGTTGCCCCCCCCAAGCACCAAGAAGACAGAGCATCACTTGCCCCAGAGCCCCTATCTATACCTTGTGGCTAATAGCCACTGATGGCCCTCTGCTCCATATGCTTATCTAATTCCCTTTTTGAAGAACCGGGTTTGATTCCCCACTCCTCTACATGCAGCTGCTGGTGTGGCCTTGGGTCAGTCACAAGTTATTTCGGAGCTGTGTTCTCAAGAGCGGTCCTCGAAAGAGCTCTCTCAGCCCCACCTACCTCACAGTTTGTCTGTTGTGGGGAGGGGAAGGGACAGGAGTTTGTAAGCCGCTCTGAGACTCCTTCGGGTAGTGAAGGGCGGGGTATAAATCCAATCTCATCCTCCTCGTCCTCCTCGTCCTCTTCTTCTTCTTCTCTTTCTGACACTTACGAATCTTTTCTCGCTCCTTCCTGGCTGTCTCTCCCCAGCCTCAATATCCTTCTGATTTGTTGGTTGCAGGCTCCCTTTCGGTTGATGATGGAGCCTGCAACCAACAAAAACCTCGAACCACTTCCGTTTCTTAGGAGTCAGGATGTGTGGGTTCTGCCTGCGTGTTTGTGTGTGTGGGGGGGGAGAACATAACTCTTGTGATCATGCTGGAGGAGGGAGGGCACAGACGGAAAACGGTGGGGCCTAAGACACACCAGAGAATCCCGTCAATTTCAGCTTTCCTTGAAGGAACAGGTGTGTGAATCTGCAGCTCCCAACAACCGGCCCCCACGGAATGCACGCCACTGAAAAGCACAGCAACAAAGGAGTTAAAGAAGAGGAAGAAGGGCTGGATTCAGGCCCTGCCCTTCACTAGGAGTCTCGGAGAGGCTTACAATCTCCTTTCCCTTCCCCTCCCCGCATCAGACACTCTG